ATTTAGTATAATATGTATAAACAGACACTTTAAAAGCTAAATTAGTTGACTTTACTGGGAAAATAAAAGGCATTATTACTTTAAAAAAGTACTATATCTATATATATATATATATATATATATATATATATATATATATAGAGAGAGAGAGAGAGAGAGAGAGAGAGAGAAAGAGAGAGAAAGAGAGAGAGAGAGTAAACATGTTGCCTTAAAACTATTGTGAAAAATTATAAAAGTTAAGTCAGCTTACAAAATTGCCAAATTACAACAGGTTTACTCACTTTTTTAAGTAAAGCAACTCATCACGTTTTACAGTTTATATTCTAGCTGTATATTTTAATTTCCCAAAATGTGAGTTAATGAGATTGCCCTGATATCTAAATAGTTCTAGTTGACAATTTGGCATATTTTTTTACTTTTATCCAATTTAGTTTTTTTTTTTTTCGACTGACAGTTTTTGCTGCCATTCACTTTCATAATACTGAAAAGAACACAGCGGACATATTTCATCAAATATTCACCTTTTGTGTTCATGTAAGAGAGAAAGTCATATGAGTAAATAATAGCTTGTTTTCCTCAATATAATGAGTCACATATTTTGCAACGGCGGGCTTTCATAATGTTCGGAGACGAGGAAGAATTATTTTACTGATTACATAAGCAAGGTTCGTCACACAGAGGTGAACGCAACAGATTTTTCCTCAGTTATGGATTCACTTATGGCCACTGGCCATGAAGAATTTATGAGTCTATTTCATTTATTAGTGTAGTCATTCCAACGGCACAGAAACTTTGCCAGCTTTCAACTAGATTTCTTTGAGCCGTATTTCACTGCTTGTTGGCTGGAGATTCTGAAAATCACATGAAGCTTTTTCTCCTGCGCTGCTTGAAAAATGGGGTTTTGAGGCAAAAGTGTCACGGACTGATTTTGTTTTCCTCACTTTAATTGCAAACTGTGGCACTGGAGCCAAAAAGGAAATTAATACTATTATTTAGGATCAGGATCATTGTTGTTAACTACAATACAAATTCAAACAAAAAAATAATAAAATACATGCTTATTAATTTAAATAAAACAAATATTATTAATTCATTCATTTATTAATTTTTGTTTTGGCTTAGTCCCTTTATTAATCCAGGGTCGCCACAGCAGAATGAACTGCCAACTTATCCAGCAAATGTTTTACGCAGTGGATGCCCTTCCAGTGGGAACCCATCTCTGGGAAATATCCATACACACTCATTCACACACACACATACACTGCGGTCGATTTAACTTACCCAATTCACATATCTTTGGACTTGTGGGAGAAACTGGAGCACCCAAAGGAAGCCCACGCGAACATGAGTAAACATGCAAACTCCACACAGAAATGCCAACTGACCCAGCCGAGGCTCGAACAAGCGACCTTTTTGCTGTGAGGCATTCGTGCTACCCACTGCGCCACTGTGACGCCTCGAAACAATTATTTTTATTATGCAACATGTCTTGATTATTTTTAATAAATTCTTATTTATATTATTACTAAATGAAAAAGTAAGTGAAAGGAAAAAGTAAATAAATTAATGTGTAAATGTAAAAAAAACGATTGACTGATTTCATTGGTTTTGAAAAAAGTTTTTTTTTTTTTTATTATTATTTTTTTTTTTTAATAATTGGTGAGAGACAAACACCTCTTATTTATTTATAACAGCAACAAAAAGAAAAACCTCCACTGTTGTGGAAGACTCTTCCCATCCTTTACATGGTTCCTTTAGGTTACTTTCATCAGGTTGAGGGTTTAAAGTTCCTTAAGCAAAAAAGTCTAAGTACAGGAAGACATTTATTTTCACTGCTTTTGTTTTTTTTAAATAATTGTGTAAGTTTGTTAATTTATGTTTTGTTGTTGTGTGTGAGCCTATGTCTAAAGACAGTTGTCTAACCCCTGTGGGATAAAGAGTAAAGTTTATTGAATTGAATTGAATTGAATTGAATTGAATTGAATTGAATTGGAATGAAATGAATGCTATGAGCTGAATAAAAAAGTAAATAAAATAAATGCCATCATTGATTAATTCAGTAAATGAAAGAACAAATGATGAAACAAAACGAAACATGTATAAAATATTGGAAATAATCTTAACAGCAAAATTAAAAAAAAAAAAAAAAAAAATCTTCAGACTTACTCAAACTTTGCCTAACACTACAATCAAAATACTGATATTACAATAATGTTTAGGCCAAAAAAAATTACAATTATTATGTGTTAGTTTCTTTTTGTGCTTTGCACTGTCTGTTCCTGCTTGACCATAAAACATTTATTTTGCAACCAGAAATATATAAAATAAAAGTTAGGAATTGTACGGCTGATGAGCATTTAGACAACTTATCTGGCAGGATACAACATATTCAATGATATTAATGGCTGACTGAACACAATGACTTTTTTTTCCCTCTTAGCACCCCCAATCAGAGCTTTGAAATTAATGCCTGTGGAGACGGTGCAGATAAAAACATGAAGAGAGTCAGTCAGAAATGATACCAATCACATGTAGCGCCGCTGCTTCTACTTGTTTTTCCCCGGCGGTCTCTTCCTCATGTCTTGCCAACGTGGGGAACTGGCAGTGTCAATTTATCAGAGAACAAAAGAGACTGTATGTGGGAAGGGAGCGCGTCTGTAGGCCCTTGGAGAGGAAACAGACCCCCCACCTCCTACCTGCACATTCAAACAGTCCTCAAACAGACTAGTGAAACCTCGTCATTAGCATTTGGGAACTTTTGTTTGTCTTGCCTTGTCTTGTTATTAACTTTTTTGTTTATGTTGTTTTTACTGTACGCATGGGCTGTTATTCTAGAGTTCAGTGTCCTAGAAAGTTTGGTGCACAGATGTACAGGAATATGTGTTATAATGGTAGACTTAAAAATGAATTTTTCCAAATTTGGAAATTGTTTGCATTAATGTACTGTATAAACCAACAAATGTGTTTGTCCATATTTTACCCAGTTTTTGGTTTTAATAACCTAGCCTTTTAAGAGTGTAAACTGCTATGGAAGAAAAATAGAGCACCTAAACATTTCCACTTTGGCTGGATGTTCTGGATTTAATAGGTGTGAGTTTTTGTTCTGTAAAGATAAAATTTTTGCAACTTTCAAATAACAATTGTCATTTAGAACATTGTTTGACCGATATTTATATTTGTTGAGATGTGAAGGTCAGGGTTATTCTAGAATTGATGTATTACCTTTCTGAAGTTAAAACATTGGTATTGTTTATTAAAAAAATAAATATAATCATTTCTGAAAACATGACATATTTTTGTTGTTTTGACATGCTGACTTTTTCTGCTCTAATTGATGACATTTTCATTTTAAGTTTGACTGATTGAAAACAAATAAAGTGTTTTGACTTGCACTTTATGGGCTCTATTTTAACAATCTAGGCGCAAAGTCTGAAGCCCAGGTGCAAAAGCATTAAGGGCGTGTACAAATCCACTTTTGCTATTTTAAGGATGTAAAAATACGATCAGCACCCTGGTGCATGGTCTAACAGGGTTGTGCTTATTTTCCAAATGAGTTATGGGTGTGTTTTGTGCATAACATGCATTAAACTAATCAGAGTCTCATTCCCTTTAAGAGTCAGATGCGTCACAATATGACGCATTTGCTATTTACATGCAGATTTTGTAATTGGAAAAACTGAACTCTTTATTAGCGAGAAAACAGTTAAACAAACAATTTGCAGCATGAGAATAAAGAAAGAGCCTTCTCCATTCGGCCTCTTTACTTTTACTCTACTTTACTCTTTTACTTTCAGGGATAAGGAAACACTCCACTGAAGACATCCATTAGCCTACATATTGAATTTAATTTGTTAAGTGCAAATATTTATTTCAAAATTCAGTTCTAATTTCCAGCAAACGAAAAAATGAACAATAATAACTAAGTGTGGTCAAAAAACTGAGTTGTATCCAAACACACGTCCTATTCTTATGCCCCATATGGTCCAAAACCCGACAGGTTGACAAATGTAAACTTTTGTTTATTAAAACAAATATGAATATGCATATAATACTAATAATAACATTATTCAAATGTAAATTGTCATGAATGAACTGGAAAAAGCAATATAAGCATGGACCTGCATAGACGCAAAACTAACGCACTTTGTGCTGGACTTCAGACAAGCGTTCAGTTGGTCAATGGCGCAGTCTATTTAAGTTTCTCAAAATATCAACATGCCAACAATGTGCCTTAACACACCTCCTTTTTAGACCAGAACACTCATGAGTCCACAAAGTGGCGCAAATGTATTTGCTATTTAAACAACGTGTCGCAAGACATGAATATTAGGATTGCGCTGGTCTGAAAATAGTAACAAATCATGTCTTGCTACTTATTGTCCTGGGTGTATGATAGGGCTAGTGGCATAGCGCAAAATGTGGGGGCCCCCCTGATCATGCATCCACTACGTTACTGGATAGAGCCTTAAGTGTTTGAAGTAAAATCTATTTTCCTATTTTTTTAACTTCCTATTTAAAAATGTTGTAATTTAGAGCCTTTAAAGAAATAATGTTATTATTGTCATGTCATGTTAGCAATTTAAAAAAATACACACGCATAACAAAAGTGTCAACTTCTATATTTGTATTTGGTTGAATAACAACAACATTTATACTCAACAAATTAAAATATTATTTGATTCTTACCAGTTGTCATTTAATAATGCTCTAAATATTAATAATTTTATATATATATATATATATATATATATATATATATATATTTTATTTTTTTTTCTCAGTACCTTTTTGAAACAATATAAATAGTAACATTTAACTCAAACCCATACTTAGTAAATTTAGAAAAACAGAATTGTAACAGTGGTACCTTATTTTTTTTCATAGCTGTATACATGTGTCTATATTAATGTAAACAGAATAAATTAATGTAATTATAATTGCTATGCCAAGACAAGGTTCTCATACATCTCTCTTTCTCTCTCTCTCTCTCTCTCATTCAGGTCTGTGATCAGCTGGTGATTCATTTTTACATCTGAAAAAAAATTGCAAGGTAAATTTGAAATATTACTTCTTTGTTTTGCTTTTCCCATAATTTCAAATCTTCTTAATCCACTCCTCTACATCTCTCACAACTGTCTGTGTCAGTTTGTTACATCAATATAGCAACATGACGTTCACAGCAACAGTCAATCAGAACATATCTGACATTTAACACGTAGGTAATTTTGAACCAATGAGATTCTCAGTGGGTGGGGCTACCAGTCGTTATGATGTAGAACAGACACCAGATGCAAGTTTTTTTAGAGAATATTTTTCATATTGCTTTATCCATGTGTTTTTTTTTTCTCTCTCTTTCTGAGGTTTTAAAGTGGTTTGAGCTATGCTTACCAGTTTGTTTTATTCTTTTACATAACTTTGGGCTGCTTTACATTTAGCACACTTAAATAGCTGCCTCAGCGCACTCCTGACGTAAAGAGAAAGAGAGCGGGAGGGAAACTTACATAAGCTGACTTGAGTGTCAGAGAGGCCAGCGGCAGGACACAATGTCATCTGTGTGATGTAAGGCCTTTCTCAGTGCCTTTCCCTTCATAAAACAAACTCACTTTGGCTCAATTAACCCAGGAGATCAGAAAACCGCAGAACATGAACAGAACATTGAGTTACGTAACAATCACATACTTGCAGATCGCCACCCGAATGCCCTTTCACTTCTCTCAAAGAAAGCTGTGTTTTCATGGCAGACATTAAAAAGGTGCGCATGCATGAAAATGAATGGATATTAAGACAGCTGTGAAGTGGACATAAGTTTAAAATCAGCAATACAATGTCAAAACTGGCTAAACATGGAAGAATTAATTTACACCAGGCCGACTAATTATTAGAAAGTAATACACAACCCCAATGTGAAAAGCACCCAATGTAAAGCACTGTGACTTTTTTTTTAAACATAATTTTTCTAAAAATTCAGCTGTTTGTTAACTATTAAAACAAAAATGTAATGGTCACCTTTCCTGTTTCTTATACATCTCATCCCAAATCTCAATTGCTATTTTGAAATTGAGCAATTAGCATTGCTGCTGTAAACTTATTTATGCACATTTAAAGATGTGGTCTACTATGATATCATATTTTAAACTGTAGTTAATGTGTAATGTAGCATAGTGGACATAAACAACATCTCTGAATGTAATATGCTCAGTTCAATGGAAGGGAGACATTGCATTTTACAGAGTTAGCTTAGCAAAACCCACAGCGAACAAATTTGGGACTACAAAAAATACATCTGGGTTAATGAGATCATAAATGGATACGCGCATTCACCACACGCACACATCCTGCGCAGTAACGAGGGATGGCTAGAGATGGCTATGTTCCAGAGAATTTTATATATATATATATATATATATATATATATATATATATATATATATATATATATATATATATATATATATATATAGTTAGCATTTGACAAAGGACAGCTTTCAGAATCTCTCCCAGTTCAGCGTACGATTCAGCTAACAACTCCTCCAACCGTCAAGCTGTGGATTGTGAGCCACTACCTGTTTTTTCTGTTTTTTTTTTTTAAATTGGCAATTACATGCATAGTTTCTAGGTGATGACCGTTAATGTTATGCTGTAGCAAGGACAAAAACAAGGATGTAAACAACGGGAAATGCTTTTGACACCACTAACAATTTAGCTACAAATACAAAAACCACAATCTTCAGCAGCGCTGCAGTGTCTCCCTATGCAAACGTTCCATGCGTACTGCATCTCAAATAATATATGTGAATGTTTCATATTATGTAGACATTCATTCATTAATTTTCTTGTCGGCTTAATCCCTTCATTAATCCAGGGTCGCCACAGCGGAATGAACCGCCAACTTATCTAGCTCGTTTTTTACGCAGCGGATGCTCTTCCACCCGCAATTCATGTCTGGGAAACATCCACACACACTCATACACTATGGACAATTTAGCCTACTCAGAATTTACATTCGATTCAAAATGTACAGAAATATCATTATGCCACTTCAGTATTTATATTATAGTATTTAACTGCTACCATGATTCACTAATTATTAGGTTTTGTAATGCTTTTCATTTATCAATCCACCAATCAAGCAATCAAGAGCTCAGAAATATAGTTACATTATGCACAATCTACGTTTTATTGAATGTTCTATATTCTTGATTCAAAGAGTTTTGGTTGTCATTACAAGTTTAACTCATATACTGTATCACATTTTTATCACAATTTTCATCACACTATTAGCTAAAGTTAAAGTTATGTAAGTTAAAACTCTTCCATACCCTCACTGCACACCATCAATATGCAGCATGCACTGCACTTTAACCAATCCATACTTGAAACAATACTGCCTACAACTACGTGGACACCTATTCATTGTACATATCGCTGTCAATTTCACATTGTCGTTGTATTTGCACTGTCTGTTTTTTGCACTGTCTATATTTTGCACTGTCATTGTATTTTGTACTGTCTGGAGCCAGCACCTAAGCTTTTCACTCATCATAACAAACGTGCTGCTGATGATGTGACAATAAAAGTGATTTGATTTAAAATTATAGCTCCTATAAAAAACGCAAGAGAATTGGACGTTTTAAAGATTTCAGAGATTTCAAATCTTCTAATTTTATTAAAAGCATTAATACTTGAGCATACTTTGAGCTGCAAAGCTGTTTAAATAATTTTACAGTAATTTTAGGCCCTATACTGTCATGGCAACATCCATGCCACATCATTTTACCGAAAAGGCTAGTAAGCTATTTTTTTACACAAAAAAACCCCCAAAAATATACTTTAGGTCAAGATGCTGTATTTTAGACTTCAAAACATTGAACACAAACTTACATAAAAATCAAATACTTTCAAAAATGACTTCCATTTATAAGCGTCTCCTTGAAGAACTGGCAGTTAATGATTGTACTGAACACTAAAACTCATCGTCATACTTCACACTTGTTCACGAAATAGAGCCTATAAGTTAATTGTAGATTTGCATGAAGACTCACTCTCTCAGATGTGATTGTCACTTCTCATTGTGTGTTTCATATCAGTGTGTTATGATGTTATGAAACATATGCCAGTTATAGTGGAGTCGCAGCGAGATCTCCGAGGGCAGGCGCCTCCATTACACTAAATGAATTTGTTTTCGCATGTACTGATAGCACTAAACGCTTCTCACCTCCTAATTGATTTTCTCATTCATCTCCGGGGAATGTTGTTCACAGTCATGGATGCTTCTGAAGGAGCCACGTTTCAAACAAGCAGCAGTGCGGACAATCCACCCCCCTCTCCACCCGAAACTAAGACGTTGCCCTCAGAACTAATAATGGGTTTTAGCGCATGCTTCTCCGATTGATCTGCTAAAACTATAAGTGCAAGCAGAACAAATCCCTGTAATGATTGCCTCAGGAGGGGAGCCAGTGCTGCGCTAAGAGTGTGTGTGTCTCTGTGTGTGTGTGTGTGTGCTCAAAGCGCCACTCGCACAAATTATCTCCCCACTGTACATCTCCTTACAAACCACTTCTCCGAATCATTCCATCAGCTATTCTCTCCTCTCTCAAGTCCTGTGCAGTTGGAAGGCCAATACTCTTGAGATGTGAAGTTAGCGTTGTCATTAAACAGAAACTTACAGTTAAACGTTTACAAATACACTCGAAAAAGATTTTTCTAACTACTTATATGAAATTAACTGAATGAAAAAGGGATTCTTGAGTTTTTTGGCAGATAACTTAATTGTTTTATATTCAATCCACTTAAATTTGTAAAAACAATTAAGCTAACTTTATCAATTTGTGTTGGGACAACATAACAAAATTGTATGGATTATAACAGTGCATTATAACAGTGTAGATCAAGGGTGCCCAATCTCGTCATGTCAAGTCGATGTTTTGCAGATTTTAGCTCCAACTTGCCTCAAAACACCTTCACGGATGTTTCTAGAAAGCCTTGTAAGAACTTGATTAGCTAGCCCAGGTGTGTCTGATTGGTGATGGAACTAAACTTCGCAGGACACCGGCCCACCAGTTTGGGCACCTCTGTTGTGGTTCTATTCACCTTATTTGCTGCACATGAGCGGGCGCAGCCATTTAAATCATTTTGGCTCGGGACTTTCGGTCCCATTGACTATCATTCATTTTTAGAAACCGCTTTTTTTGCTGCTTGATGTTGCAGACCGATATTTTCTTATTATATGATTCTACTTTGTCTGTATGATCATGTATAATCAAGCAGTTTGACCGTTTTCTGACGTTTGTTATCCCTAGTCATTTCTCTCATAGGCAGCTTAATCGGAAGTTCTAAAACAATCACAAAAAACGAGCACACTTCCGCATTGAAGAATAAAGTCAATAAGCTACGGTCTATAAAACATTTAAACATGTTATTTATATGTAGATAAAGGATATAAAAACAACACTTCTAATAGAACTCAACCAGGCCATAGTAAATGGTAGAAAGTATTACAATTCTGAATTTTGTAAGAAAACCTGATGGCTACAAGATTTCAGGGCTAGTTTAGAAACGGCTGATATAGAGTATAACTCCATTTAGACTGGACTTTGCTGATTTTTTTTTCTCATATTCATACAGTAAGTTGCAACATTATGCAATGAAAATGTAAAAATAGCAGGGTTTAGCTCATTTAAACTTACATATTTGTTTGTTGCTTTGATCTAACAAGTGAGAACAAAATTAAACATAATACTGTACATTCTGACTGTATAATAATCATTTTGATCTAGTGAAGTTATTTACTTTTTTGTGGTGGTCTTCAGATGAGTCAGCATTTTGTCTTTTTCGGTAATCCAGAATGTCATAATATAGAAGGGAATGGCTTGATACCTTTGTGTCACCAAGTAAACGGTCAGAAATAAAGGTACACAATTTGTCATGGTGGTACCTTTTTTAAAACATACACTTTTGTAACTAAATGGTCCTTATTAATAGTGTATGCTATTTCAGTTGATGCAGTTGATTCTGCTCCTCCTGTCCAACAATTACAAGATATTTTTTATT